TATACTGGGGATTGAACTCAGGGGTACTCCATCACTGAGCCACACCCCTAGAACCATTTTGTTATTTAGAGACAGGATCTCACTGAGTTGCTTAGCTCCTTACTTTTGCTGAGGCTGGCTTTGAGCTCTCCATCCACCTGTTTCAGCCTCCCAAGTCCCTGGGATTACAGGTATAGGGTATTGATTTAACACTTGAGCAGCCATCTTAATGTTAACTGCCACCTTATGAGATAAGTTTCACTTTCCTGTACTTCCTCTTACCCATTAGTGACATACCCCATGGTACCATTGTTATACCAATACTGAGACCCTCAAATAACTCTCCATTAAGCCTTTATTGCTGGCCAGCAGTGGACACTCTGCTCTCCAAAGAACAATATAGAGTGGCACGCCTGCCTTCGGGCCTCATAGTTAAGTCAAATCACAAAAGGGACGTTTGAAGATTTAGCCAATGTAAGCAAGCAAGTACAGAAGCTGAATTGGTCAGTTAACAAGACTGCAATGGGTACATTGGTTGGCATAGCAGCAAGCAAGCAGAAAGGAAGTGGCTTGAAATGACCCTAGTTGAGTACAAGTTAGAGAATGGTTACTAATGTCTAGACAATCTCTGTCAGGGTACATTGCCCAAGAAATATGGAAAGCAAAGAGAACAATTTTATATTAAGGAATTGCTATTTTAGCCCTGCCTATAACGCCATAATCCTAAACCAATCCCAGAAGGATATGACCCCTTGACTCTGGAAAGCCCCATGGTGCAATCAACCTAAGCCAGTCCCATTCTATTCCCCACTGGCCTAGCTCTGACGAAAGCACCCCCCAGCCTATCCCATAACACCGCAACTACGACTCCAAACCCATACCCACAAAAGCTGAACACCCAAACATCTCGGGGTGTGCCTTTATTTGTCAAGCTCTAACAAATAAACTCTTGACTGGGGCTATAGCTCAGTGGCAGTGCGCTTGCCTAGCATGCGTGAGGCACTTGGTTCGATCCTCAGCACCGCATAAAAATAAACAAATAAAATAAAGGCATTCTGTCAATCTACAAATAAACTCTTGTGTGTATCTCTGCCTAGTCTCCGTCTTTAATTTCTTGCTTGCCTGTCTCCCAATTCTTCACTTTCCTTTCAATAGGCATGTTCTACCACACCCTGTGCACTTACACTCTTTAAGTTCCAAAGTTATTAAAATACTTTCTTGCAATTTTTAGTCACAATTGTGATAATTTTGTTTCTATGGTTACACTCCTTAATCCTAATTTTATTTTTTTTGAAATACACTTATTAAATAATCTACCACTTCTCTGTTGTTTTGAAATGACACTCTCAGATTTTAAAAATATACAAATTTTGATTTGCATTTCTCTAATTGCTAAAGATGTTGAACATCTTTTCATATATTATTGATTGATTGTATTTCTTCTGTGAAGTGTCTGTTCAGTTCCTTAGCCCATTTATTGATTGAGCTTTTTTTTTTTTTGGTGTCAAGTTCTTTGAGTTCTTTATGTGTCCTAAGAGATTAATGCTTTATCTGAGGTACATGTGGTAAAGATTTTCTCCCAATCTCTAGGCTTTCTCTTCGCATTATTGATTCTTTTGCTGAGAAGCAGCTTTTTAGTTTGAATCCATCCTGTTTATTGATTGTTGATTTTACTTCCTGTGCTTTAGGAGTCTTGTTAAGGAAGTCATAACCTAGGCCAACATGGTGAAGATTTGGGCCTACTTTGTTTTAAGTCAGCACAGGGCTGTATTCTAGGGCCTGAGTCTTTTTGATCCACTTTAAGTTGAATTTAGTGCGGGATGAGCGAGAGGGATTCAATTTCATTTTGTTACATATGGCTTTCCATTTTTCCCAGCACCATTTGTTGAATAGATTATATTTTCCCCAGTGAATGCTTTTGGCACCTTTGTCTAGTCTGAGATAACTGTATTTTGATCTCACTCCAGTCAGAATGGCAATCATCAAGAATACAGGCAACAATAAATGTTGGCGAAGATGTGGGGGAAAAGGTGCACTCAATACATTGCTGGTAGGACTGCAAATTGCTGCAACCACTCTGGAAAGCAGTATGAGATTCCTCAGAAAACTTGGAATGGAACCACCATTTGACCTAGCTATCCCACTCCCCAGTTTATACCCAAAGGACTTAAAATCAGCATACTACAGTGATGCAGCCACTTCAATGTTTATAACAGCTCAATTCACATTAGCTAAACTACGGAACCAACCTAAGTGCCTTTCAACATATGAATGGATAAAGAAAATGTGTATATATATTTGATGCAATATTGCTCAGCTTTAAAGAAGAATGAAATTATGGATTTTGTCAATAAATGGATAGAACTGGAGACTATCATGCTAAGTGAAATAAGCCAATCTCAAAAAACCAAAGGCCCAATGTTATGCAGATGCTAATTCTAATCTGTTTTGCAGATTCTCTGATATGCAGATGCTAACTCATGATAAGGGGGGACTGCTAGGGAAGAATAGAGTTACTTTAAATTGGATAGAGGGAAGTGAAGGGAAGGGAAGGGATAGGAAGGATAGTAGAATGAAACAGACATTGTTACCTTATACGCATATATGACTGCATGATAGACATGATTCTACAACAGGTACAATCAGAAAAGTGAGAAGTTATATTCCATTTATGTAAGCTATATCTCAGTGCATAAATGCATTCTACTATCATTTATAACTAATTAAAGCAAAAAAAATTAAGAAAAAAATGTACAAATTTCATCTGCTTGGACACTGTTTCTTCCAAATACCAATTTGTACCAGAGTTTGTCTCACTGTTTTGTCATTTAAGAAAAAAATTTTTTTTAGTTATATATTGACACAATATCTTTATTTTATGTAATTATTTTTATGTGGTGCTGAGGATCAAACCCAGTGCTTCACACGTTCTAGGCAAGAGTTGTACTTACTACTGAGCCACAAGCCCAGCCCCTTAATTAGAACATTTTTATATCTAATAATATTGTATCCTCTTTCTTCTCATTTGATTAATTGCTCTTAGGCATTTGTTTTCCTAGATGAGATTTATCAAATTTTTTTTTGCAAACTAATGTTGAAATTTATTTGCTAGTCAATTTTAAAAGGAATTGCATTATATAGTAAGTGTGAAAAGACAAGAGACAGAATGAGATAATAACAGAAAGGAAGAAGCAAATGACATTAGTTGTGTTGATTGAGTTGCATACCTGGAAAGCCTAGAGTTAACCAAAAACTCCTTGAAAGTTCAACATAGGGGCCAGAGACATGGACACACAGATATGATAATTACTTGTTTCTCAGTGGTAGGACTAAGCCAATGTAGCTCTTTCCACTGGGGCCCATGAATTTCAGGGACTCTCATACACTATTTTGTAAACCTCAATGAATAGAAGCTGAAAAGATTTAAAGCTCAGGTGAAAGCTGCAAGTAATTTCTATTTGGCAAGAGTGAACACTACAAGTCTTGAGGCAGACTATTCCTTTATCCTAGGATAGATTACTACTAGAATAGGTTACTACGTGTCTACTAGTTATGTAAGATGTCTCAAAGAACTGAGGGATAATGGAAAGGCCTGTGGTGTAGGGAGCTGCAGTTCTCTGGACTGGGTTACTTAAGGTCAGGAGAGCTTGATGGTTGTTTCCTGGCAGTTGTGTATATAACAGTCTGAAGACTGAGCAGCACAAGACCTTCTTCTTGAGAGGTAAATGATACAGTCACATTAAGCCCCATGCTAAGAAAAGTCCCAGTTGATTTAAATGCTCTACTTTAACTCTCTTGACATTCTTAGCTTTTGAAAAAGGAGCCTTATATTTTAATTTTGCACTGGGTCCTTCAAATTATGTGGCCTGTCCCACACCAGAAGTTGATCAAAGTGTTTCCACCAGACATATGAGACTCTGAGCACAATGTAAACCAGTTTCACCAGCATTAAAGATGAGAGAGGGCTAAACTTCCTACTTTTTCTGGAATTCAGGAGCAATCTTTCCTTGAAATTGATGGCTATCATAAAAAATGTATTTTTACCCTTTCATTATATTTTATAACTGGTTATTGTAACTATTTAGGAAACCTCAGTATTGTAACTGGTAAAATTTGACCCTGGTACAAAATTAAATGTAAGTTCTCCCTTCATATGGCTTGGCATCAAACATCAAGAGCTCTTCTTCTAGTAGTATAAGTGAACCTGACTAATTTAACTAAATTAGGGAGAGGTTCAGAGCAGAGTTACCATTTGTCTTTTTAAAAAGAGAGGCCAAAGGAACGTAAGAGTAGATATCCTAGCCCTCTGGGTATGAAGCTTTGTCCCCATCCCCATCCCATCCAGTCCCGTCCACTGCTCCCCCCTCCCAGTGAAAAAAGAATGTTCTTCTATCTACCTCTGACAT